TTAGTGGTTCTGTTGTGTGGTATGTGGTTGTTGGTGAGTATTTGCTTCAGGTTGCGGGGCTGTCTGTAGGCAAGGACTGGCCTGTCTCCCAAGACTTGTGAGAGTGTTGGGTCATCCTTTAGGATAGGTTGTAGATCCTTAATAATGCGTTGGAGGGGTTTTAGTTGGGGGCTGAAGGTGACCGCTAGTGGCGTTCTGTTATTTTCTTTGTTAGGCCTGTCCTGTAGTAGGTAACTTCTGGGAACTCTTCTGGCTCTATCAATCTGTTTCTTTACTTCTGCAGGTGGGTATTGTAGTTGTAAGAAAGCTTGACAGAGATCTTGTAGGTGTTTGTCTCTGTCTGAGGGGTGTCAAATCAGATGTCAAGAATTATAACATTCATAAACCAGTCGGAGAATACTTCAATCTCTCTGGTCACGCAATCACAGACATGAAGGTCGCTATCTTAAAACAAAAAAACTTCAAATCCAGACTCCAGCGAGAAACTGCTGAATTGGAATTCATTTGCAAATTGGATACTATTAATTTAGGCTTAAATAGAGACTGGGAGTGGCTAAGTCATTATGCAAGGTAGCCTGTTTCCTCTTGTTTTTTCCTACCCCCCCCCCCCACTCCCAGATGTTCTGGTTTAACTTGGATTTAAACTTGGAGAGTGGTCAGTTTAGATGAGCTATTACCAGCAGGAGAGTGAGTTTGTGTGTGTATGGGGGTGGGGGGGAAGTGAGAAAACCTGGATCTATGCAGGAAATAGCCCGACTTGATTATGTAAAGAGTTGTCACTTTGGATGGGCTAGCACCAGCAGGAGAGTGAATTTGTGTGGGGGGGTGGAGGGTGAGAAAACCTGGATTTGTGCTGGAAATGGCCCACCTGTTGATCACTTTAGATAAGCTATTACCAGCAGGACAGTGGGGTGGGAGGAGGTATTGTTTCATATTCTCTGTGTGTATATAAAGTCTGCTGCAGTTTCCACGGTACACATCTGATGAAGTGAGCTGTGGCTCACGAAAGCTCATGCTCAAATAAATTGGTTAGTCTCTAAGGTGCCACAAGTACTCCTTTTCTTTTTGCGAATACAGACTAACACGGCTGTTCCTCTGAAACCTCTCCTTACAATGTGTATGAAAATCAAGGTGGGCCATTTTCTCCTTACAATGTGTATGAAAATCAAGGTGGGCCATTTCCAGCACAAATCCAGGTTTTCTCACCCCAACCCCCCCTCCCCCCACAAAACACACGCACACAAACTCACTCTCCTGCTGGTAATAGCTTATCCAAAGTGACCACTCTCCCTACAATGTGCATGATAATCAAGGTGGGCCATTTCCAGCACAAATCCACGTTTTCTCAGCCCCCCACCCCCATACACACACAAACTCACTCAAAGTGGATGAGCTATTACCAGCAGGAGAGTGAGTTTGTGTGTGTATGAGGGTGGGGGGTGGGGTGAGAAAACCTGGATTTGTGCTGGAAATGGCCCACCTTGATTTTCATGCACATTGTAGGGAGAGTGGTCACTTTGCATAAGCTATTACCAGCAGGAGAGTGAGTTTATGTGTGTGGTTTTTGGAAAGGGGCGGGGGGTGAGAAAACCTGGATTTGTGCTGGAAATGGCCCACCTTGATTATCATACACACAGTATGCATCCGATGAAGTGAGCTGTAGCTCACGAAAGCTTATGCTCAAATAAATTGGTTAGTCTCTAAAGTGCCACAAGTACTCCTTTTCTTTTTGCGAATACAGACTAACACGGCTGTTACTCTGAAACCTGCCATTGTAAAGAGAGTGGTCACTTTGGATGGGCTATTACCAGCAGGAGAGTGAGTTTGTGGGGGGGGGGGGGGCGGAGGGTGAGAAAACCTGGATTTGAGCTGGAAATGGCCCAACTTGATTATCATACACATTGTAAGAAGAGTGATCACTTTAGATAAGCTATTACCAGCAGGAGAGTGGGGTGGGAGGAGGTATTGTTTCATGGTCTCTGTGTATATAATGTCTTCTGCAGTTTCCACAGTATGCATCCGATGAAGTGAGCTGTAGCTCACGAAAGCTTATGCTCAAATAAATTGGTTAGTCTCTAAGGTGCCACAAGTACTCCTTTTCTTTTTGCAAATACAGACTAACACAGCTGTTACTCTGAAACCTGCAAGAATAATGTGTCCCCCTCCCCCACGTCATTCTGGGGCTTTCTTTAGGGCAGCGTTTCCCAAACTGTGCTCCGCGGAACACTGGGAATAGGTGTTCTGTGAAAAAATCTAGAATTTCATTTTGACCCTTGCACTTGATTTTTGTACTACTTTATACACGCTTTCCACTTAGAAATTGTTAGTTTAAGTTGTTTTAAATTTGTATTTTTGCTTTGTTTTATAAAATAAAATATATTTGCGCATAAATAATGTAATTTCTTATTTGAAAACCAAATGACCACAAAATAATATTATAAAGTGTTCCGTAATAGGCTAAAAAGTGTTCCGTGGCCAAAAAAAGTTTGGGAAACGCTGCTTTAGGGGTTTGTGACAAAAATCAAGTCCAAGTAGAACAAGCCCCCCCTACCCTGTCACACTGCCCTGTCTCATGACAAGTTGTACAGACTTCCCAACCAGAGTCCATGAAACGCAGCACTGACATACGAACACCCCCGGACCCGGAATATTGGGTTCATCCCCTGGTCTCTGGAATCCATCCTTTCACAGCCGGCTTCCAAGCCAGGAACTATGGCAAAGAAAGTAGGTCCAAAGGCAGCCTCAAGTTAGACCCCTAAATCAAAGCTGCCTGAGTCCACTGAGTTGGAATTTGGTGTCTAATTTTTGGCTATTAAATTCTGGAAATTGTTGTCCTTAGTTTCCAAACCCTCTCCCCTCCTAACCCCCCCCCCAAAAAAAACCTGATAAACTAATAGTGTATCAGCAAACCAATTGTTGGTGCATTTGGGTTATTCCTCAAACTGTTTTCAGAATAACGGGGGAGAGTGTATCAAACGCTAGGCTGTATGTGAGCTTCTGAGCTTTCTGCTCTGGTATCTGGGCTTCAGTCTCTATATAAGAGTTGTTACCCCGTTAATGTCAATTAAAGGGTAAATATACGTTACATTACATATACCCCCTGTCTGGATTATCTCTGTATCATCATAAAGGCCCCATAAGAAACAGCTCTTGCAGGACATTTGGTATACAAAGATCCCGTAATTATCCTAGTACCTTTGTAGAGTCTCAGACCTCTGGTCTGAATCAGGATCCTATTTCAGTACTTTCAGGAGACATGCAGGAGGTGCAGGGGAAGACTTGAGAATTGGAGGTTTGGGGGATATCTGGCAAATAAGTCGCTGTTGATATAGGTAGGGTGTAAGGACCTGCATTAAACTACAGAATAGAATAGTTCCTCGTTGAGATAGACTCCTTAAAAAAAAATGCAATTTGCCATGCTGCCAATCAACCTCAAGTTGACTAACCCAGGAGGCCAGTTGCTGAACCAGATACCACATGTTATCAGCATGATCTCAGCAGTGAAAAATTCCTCTTACTTCCCTTAAAAGAAAGAAGCTCTCTCTCTCTTCTATCTCCGACTGCAATGTCATCCATTCGCCAACTCTTGTGTGCATGAAATTTCCCAGAGCGTTGAAGTTCCTCCTGCCGATGTTGCAACAAGGGCTAGGGAGACATCAAAATCCTCTCCATGTACAGAAGGACTCGGATGGCTGTCAAGGAATGTTCTGAACCGGTTCTGTAAATCCCTGGTCTGCTGCTTCCCTACCCCATCACAGCCAGAAAACAAAAGAATATAACCTTTGCAAAACTTAAAAAAAAGGAGGAAATAAAATTGCCACCACGAGTCAGGTGTTTGCACTGAGATCATGGCGTTGAACCAAGCATCCCATTAAAGGCCATTTGTTTTCATCCTCCTTAATACTAATAGGACTTATGACCGAATAGGAATCTCTTTCATGTAACCAAATTATCTGGCTACCACCCACCAAATTTTGTGGCACTGGAGTTGGGAGTGAGAGGGGAAGAGGATGGAAAGTCCTACAGCATGTAATAGAAAATGATCCCTGTGCTACAGGTTTATTGAACAACCTTCTAGAACTGAATAGATAATTTTATCCCTGCTACAGAATTCTAGGGGCAGGGAATGTCAAAAGAACCACTGGAATCTAAGAAAATAAAATCTATCTAATTCTGTTCTATGGGCCCAGATCCTCCAACTGAGCTAGGCTGATTTACACCAGCTGAGGATCTATCTCTGTAGGCTTTTAGAGCAATTTCCCTAGAACCGTCTTAACTTTCTGTTGACCCCTCTTGGTTTCATCCTTATTTATTTCTAGAGTAGTTTACAACAAGATCTCTTGCTTCAGTAGAGGGCCACAGTATGGGAAAGTGTGAGACCTCCACATTGGCTCTTTGCACTGCTGTGGGACTGAGATCTGAGGGTTGCATGTGACCCCCAATCCAGCACACACAGCCTTTTCACAGGGCTCCCAAGAGGGGCCACTGAAGGCTGAGCCCTTCACTCCCTCTTACCCCAAACAGACTTGGTGATTGTACTGGCCTGTATCTGTGCACCGTGAAGAGCTATCCACTTTGTGCTTTACCCCCACTGGGAGGTGAAGCCCATGTAGGCCTGGACACTAGGACACATGTATGTCCCATGCCGTTCCCTCTCACAGTCTCACACTTCTGCAGCTGCCTGGGTGAAGCATCAACACCACGCAACACTCCCCTGTGCAAAGGGCTGGGGGGGAAGACTTGCTCTTCAAGTCCACAGATGCTTCAATGAGATGTAAAAGGCCCAGTGCTAAAGTAACTCTTAGCAGCTAGTTCCCCCTTTCAAGCCAGAACGTTGATTAAGATACTGAGCAGGTAGAAGGAAGTAAACTCCAAAAATGTGAACATGTGGAACCTCCCATTCAGGTGAGTGAACTGGAGTGGGAGGGAAAATCTGCATCTGCCTCATCAAGAAGGTAGTATAAATAGCCTTGCATCTGGTGCTCCTCCGCAGTACAGGTCTGTCCTTAACAGAAGGAGAGAGACTAGCAAAACTGACCATGGCAGCCCTTATCTCCACGCTGCAATTGCTCTTCCTTGGGGCTCTGATTTCCCCCGTCTACTTGCTGGATGCTTGTGAACTGATCCAGGATACCACTCATCTTGGCTCTTACAATCTATCTGTGATCCCTGATGACTACAAGGCAAACACAAACTACAATGGTAAGTTGACTCTCTCTGGATCTAGGAACTTTCCTCCTGCATAGATCTCGCTTTGCCTGGATGTTCTCTTGAGTTTCATGGTGTGTCTGCAGTGTGCAAGAATGAGCATGCATTTGAGCAGCTTTTATGTCAGCTGGGAAGCGTAAAAAGAAAGGTTTCAGAGTAACAGCCGTGTTAGTCTGTATTCGCAAAAAGAAAAGGAGTACTTGTGGCACCTTAGACACTAACCAATTTATTTGAGCTGTAGCTCACGAAAGCTCATGCTCAAATAAATTGGTTAGTCGCTAAGGTGCCACAAGTCCTCCTTTTCTTTTTGTAAAAAGAAAGGTAGCAGTAATCATTTGTGTTTTAATGTCAGTGCCCTCCAGGGTCCCCAGCAGATGCTCTCTCCTTGCCTGCAGCTGGGATTCTTATTTCATATCTGCCAAAATTGTGCAGCAAAACTTGGAAACTGGTTGTTTGAAAAGGCATGACATTTGGGGTGATTTCCCCCTCCCCCCCACACACACACTATGAGAATTCACCCTTTCCTGGGGAAATAGAAGAAAGGACAAAGGTGTGGAGGCCAGGGCTTAAAGGGGGCGAGGGGAGGGATCACAAAGAGTCACAGATCCTGCAAAAATAAATACATTTTAAACTGAGCTGGGTTGCATTGTTTTACCAAAGCTGCCCCCCACTCACCCCATGCCTCTTTTCAGATCACGTAAGCACTGCTGGACGCTGTTTGGGGCCCATTCTGTTTGGGTGCATGTACCTTTCCTGAACACCGCCCTGAAGTCACTTTTACTTATGCACCCTCTGACACAGTGATTAGTAGCCTGATCCTGTTCTTATCATCCAATAGCAAATCTTCCATTGACTTCAAAATGCAAAATGAGCAGGATCAAGCCCCCAGTGCTGAATAAATGTCTGGATTGACAGACACTGTGTATCTCTCTCTGAAGTCAGTGGAACTATCTTTCTTTACAGGTCAGGATCTGACACAAAGAGCAGCCACTTTGTAAAGTTAGGGATGGTTCCTTTTTTTTTTTTTTTTTTTCATTTCTATACCAAAAAGGATTGAACACAACTGCAGATTAATTTCATTCCAAATGCCACTCACAACCAAACTTGGCTCTAATTAACGTGTGTGCGCACACACACACAGAGTCTGCTGCTAGTTAACATCTATTTTATTGGCACCTGGCAGTCTGGCTGGTTTCTTTGAAATGTGGCTCAGGATAAACTCTCCCTCAGGGTGAGCATTTCCAAAGCATTGCCAAAGGGAGCCTTTCCCATCGTCAGGGGTTACAATGAGACACACTGGAGCCTGGTTTGCTGGTTACGGAGTAGCTTTCCTTGTACAGTGAGTAGCCCACTGAGTAGATGATCTTTGTAATAAAGATGCTGTAGCTAGGAAAACTGGTAAGACTGAGAGAGCTCCAGTCTTTGCCATGACGTGCAGTCAAACTGTACAAGGTAGCAAGGAGGAATGACAGGGCCTGGTCTTATCAGCTTAGGGGAGAATGGGAGGACTCCGGGCTCCAAAGTCTTGTGCTGCTTAGATTTTTTAGGTTAAAAGCAGTTGTCCTGCTCCCCTTGTGTGTGGAGAATCTTCTTTTGGACCCATGTGAAGGGAACTCCTGAACTTGGATGAGTGGCTATTCCTCTTTGGAACTTTACATTTCCCTTGGGGGGGAGGGGTCCATGAGACACCAAAGCAAAACTCACCCCATAGATCTGTAGCATTCTCTGCTTCTCTCAGATCCCCTGGGGCCTGGTGGGGTTTTGTGGGTGCTGGTTCTCAGCACAGAGAACTTACGTTTTCCTCCTCTGCATTCTCTCTAGTAACCATCAGTGGAGCCATCAACAGCAGCTCAGTTATCCTGCAGGCCGTCAATAGCCAGAACTCCTCTGTGGGCCAGTGGGAAAAACCAGTTGTGAACTGCAGCAACGGCCTCTCAAGGCAGCAAAATATCACCAACACAGCCACAGTACAATGGAAATCTCCAACCAATGGGACAGACAGGGTGGAAATAAGGTAATGCTCTTCCTTACCTGGGAGAGGAGATGGAGTATGGGGAGCAGGGCTACATTCTGCAGGAGGCGTGTATGAAATGGCAGGAGGGTTCTGCTTTCATTAAAAGGTTTAATGGGAAGGTTTTACGGAGGGGGGAAGTGCAGCTCAACCACGAAGTGCAGCTCAATCAGAGGAAATTCAAAGTGGAGCTGAAATGCAAATCCAGCAGGTCCCATCATCATTCCATCTTATTATTTTGATTTAGTTGGGGATTGGCCCTGCTTTGAGCAGGGGGTTGGACTAGATGACCTCCAGAGGTCCCTTCCAACCCTGAGTTTCTGTGATTCTATGATAAGCTATTACCAGCAGGAGAGTGGGGTGGGGGGAGGTATTTTTTCATGCTTTGTGTGTGTAAAAAGATCTTCTACACTTTCCGCAGTATGCATCTCCCGAAAGCTCATGCTCAGATAAATTGGTTAGTCTCTAAGGTGCCACAAGTCCTCCTTTTCCTTTTGTGATTCTATGATTATTATTTATTGGTATTAATATATCACCTATGAGCCGTAAGCATGCACTAGGGGACACACACACACACACACACACACCCCAAAAAGCCGCGCCCCAAAGTCCTTAAGAGTTCGGGAGCTGCTGTTCACACAGCAGATGCCTTTGCAGGCCGTTCTAACCATGCACCTGTTCCATGACTCCTCTGTTAGAGCTGGAGACTAACACCTCTGTGTGCTCCGAATTCTCATTTGGCTGCATTCACCCCCAATGGGTGAAAATCCAGAGTGTCTCGACCGAAACAAATGGACTTGTATCAGCCTGGTCTACACTAATATTCACCTTAATGGAGCTGCATCAGTGAGAAATATTTACCAAAGAAAACCAGAGATAAGGCTTATCAGGCTGACTGAGAAAGGAAAGAGTGCACTGGTTATTTTCAACAATTAGTTCTATATTTAATTGTAATGGTTGGCATCAACAGACTTACAGCTTGCGACAAACATTGGAAAGTGCAAAAAGAACAGGAGGACTTGTGGCACCTTTGCGACTAACCAATGTATTTGAGCATAAGCTTTCGTGAGCTACAGCTCACTGCATCGGATGTAGCTCACGAAAGCTTATGCTCAAATAAATTGGTTAGTCTCTAAGGTGCCACAAGTCCTCCTTTTCTTTTTGCAAATGTAGACTAACACGGCTGTTACTCTGAAACCTGTCATTGGAAAGTGCTGTAAAGCAATAAATGACAGGAGTATTGATGGCAACTAGTGACTAACGACATGCGTCACAGAAACAAAAGATAATAGGGAAATTTATCATGTTTGCTCAATAAAATAATCTCTTTATGACTTTATTCCTCCTCTCTTTATCTACCTTTATTGTCGCCTACATTATTCTAGGGAACAGAAGGTATTAGTGAGACCAAGCCCTTGATGTTGTTGTTCCTTTATTTTCCACAGGGTGTTTGTGACGTTTTCCAATGGCTCTACACTGCTCCAGAAGACAACCCTGAGTACAGGTAAATCAGCCTAATATGCATGTATCAAATGACAAAGCAGTTGAACGGATTCATTTTTTTTTATTGTGGCTTTTGTGAAATAAGAATCAATTCCATCTTTTTCAAGACAAACACCCATTCTCTCCTGTAATGAAATATAAGGCAAAGACACTAAAACCAGTTGAAAATTGGCATCCGCATAAAATGAGGGTCACAAAAATATCATTGACATCTTGAAAAATGTCAGGTGGCTTTAAAAGATACAGAGTAGATATAAATAGGAGATCCTCAGCTGGTGTAAATCAGCATCATTCCATTGGCTTCAGTAACAGGCCTGATCCTCAAAAGGGCGTAAAGGGCATAACTCCCTCAACTTCAGTAAAGCTGTGGTGTCTTACACCGCTAGAGGATCATCATTTGTCCGCAGCTTCCTCCTCTAATGCAGCTGAGCACAGTAAGAACTGATTATAGGAACTACATGGCACACTACAGACTAATTCCCAGTAAGTCTATCTGGAGGTTTTTCAGGCCATTTCCTTCCTGTAGCAGGAGGATCACTCTGTGTTCAGAGCAAAGCTAATCCTGTTCTTGTTCAATGTGGCTGTCTCATGAAAAAGCATATTTGGTGCCTTGACGGATGGTCACTGACAGCTGCTGCCTGCTGCAGACACACAGAAGGGAGTTCTGATCGGAACAGCACCTCCCAGCCTGATCCAATGGGACCTTTGAATATAGATCCAGTAGGTCCTGCTTGGCACTCAGCCCCAGCTGTCCAACTGGACACCAGGAAATCACATGCCGTTGTGGTACCATCAGTGAAATGATGAGGGAGGGAGCAGGTGCTGCCCTGTGATGTTGGCACAAGGCATGGGATGTGTCCTCCTGCTTAACTTCTCTGCCACACACACGGACCCTGCTGAGATTGTGGCTCCACACACCAAACCAAAGGGACCTCTGCTGTCCTTGATCCCATTTATACTTATCCCACGGAAGGGAGAGACTTCTTTCTCTCACTTCTCCGCCCCAAGGCACCTAAGACAGGATCTTCAAATCCTTTTAATCTGCAATGCTCCACTGAATTCAATGGAGCAATGCCAGTTTACCCCACGGGCAGATCTGATCCCAATTTCTGAGAGATACATGCAGCAACAGGAATTGATGCACCATCTTGCAGTGAGCCCACAGTTCATCCGCTCCGCCGATTTCTAATCCTGGTTTGCTTCTGCATTTCAGCATCTTCAATCACACCTGCATCGACAACAAGAATACCCACCACCAGTTCCGTCTCCACAGTGCAGGCCAGCTCCTTCCTCCTGGCAGCTGTCCACCTGCTGTCAATCTTTGTTACCGGCAAACTGTTCTCCTAGTGGGAAACGCACCCCAGTTGAGCCACGCCCTTCCATCTTTGCTTTCTACCTGGATGCAAGGGTGGACAGCTGATCTACTCAGGAAGTCTCTCTTCTACTGTTATGTATTTAAGCATGATGACTGCACTTTCTTTTACACCCTACTTGACCAGAGAGCTGACACCCAACCCCATTGCCAGCAGCAGGAAACACAGGAAGAAATTCTGGCACATACTTGTCTCAAGAGTTTTCATGAGCTGAAATGTTCTGTAGCAAGTCAGGATTCGATACATTCATAGAGTGTAGAATAGCGTCGGGTAGAGTAATCTGACAAAAGGTGATTGAACAAGGTAACACCAAGGGTTCCTTCCATCCTGATCTCCTATAGTTCTATGAAGCAGAGACAGCATGTGCCTTCCACCAGGAGGGCTAAACTGCTTTCCACATTAGGGCACTGCAGGTTGATAAATGGGCATGGGGAAGGGTCTTCCACAGCTGCTGCTGCATCCCATTTGCTGTGGACACATCCCATTTGCAGTGTCTTTCTGAGCCAGTACCTCCTGTATGTGACTTACCAAGTCTACAGGGCCCTGACTGGGGAGGGGCACTGTAATCAGTCGGACTTGCAGAGAATTGTGAAGGGCAGGGCAGACTTACACAGTTCAGACTGATTTAAAGCCTGCATGGGATACAAATTTAAATGATCATTAAATAAGTAAATACACCCTGTTTTTCAGTCTAGCCTGCCATATGGAGGTAAGTCCTTTCCATAAATCAAGCTAGAACCCCCTACTGGCAGGGCCTCTCCATGAAGGCCCCCTAACTGGAATTCCCTGCCAGTTTCAATCCTTGGCCCAAGATAACCTGTTGTACTTCAGGGCACCCTGCAATACCCTCCTTGATTTTTCTCTGGTGTTTTGGGGCAGAACCCTGAGATGAAGGAAGGGTTAGATCTCTGAAATGAGTAGGAATATTTTTAATAGACAGCAGATGATTTTTACTGCCATGTTGGCTGGGACGTGCCGTTGAATTTGTTGATCCATTTTCTTGTTGAGATTTTTGGGGGTTTTTGTATGGACTGCATTCGTTTAGAAATTGTTAAATGGCCGTAGAGAAGTAGATTTTCTTACACAAATCTAAATAAATTAATGAATAAAATACTTCATATTGTGCCTGGGACTCTTTCTTGGCTTTTCCATGACGTTTCTTGGAAGAGCTGGGTGACAGAAATGACTCTAAATACTGTGAAATGCTTGGTTTCTGCCTATAGAGGAGCACTTAAATGTTACGGTGAAAGACCAAGGTCAAAATCTCCCTTTAGTTACTCCCTGGTAATCTTGTTCAAGTCAATATGGTGTAACTGTGGGTGAATTGTTTCCTCCAAAGCATGTGGCGTGTCTCAACTGCAAAATGTCTAGTTGCTGGCTGGTTGATGTGTGAACGTGCATTGTGGGGAATGGACAGTTATGTTCAGAAACAATAAGTCATTGCAAGGCATCTGGGGTGCATGCTTCAATATTGCACCAATTCATGTAGGATGCTCAGAGAGGCAGTAACACAATTCCAGTAATCCACCTGCCATTCCCTTCCACCCCAGGATACTGGGATCCAAAACATCACAGTAGTTATATATTCCCTGGGTCAAAGATTTAACTAAACTTCTCACTTCTTAGGTTTCAGAGTAGCAGCCGTGTTAGTCTGTATCCGCAAAAAGAAAAGGAGTACTTGTGGCACCTTAGAGACTAACCAATTTATTTGAGCATAAGCTTTCGTGAGCTACACACTGAATGCATCCGATGAAGGGAGCTGTAGCTCACAAAAGCTTATGCTCAAATAAATTGGTTAGTCTTTAAGGTGACACAAGTACTCCTTTTCTTCTCACTCTTAGTATCTCAGAGTGAACAGGATGTAAACTGCCCATATTATCCATATAGCTAGCCCCCTCCCTCTCATAAACCTACATTCAGTTTCTGTGGAATTAGTGTTAATTGGTCGATTTTAATTTGAAGTGGACTAAATGGTTAACTGTTCAAGCCAGAGTGCCCCAGAGCACTGTGAACCGCAGGGGGGCGGGGGGTTGCAGGTGGGAGAATGGAGCTGGGAACTGAAACGCCACATTTCCAAGGAGATTGAATGCCCAGGAACAGTTGATTCCTGTTGTTCCTGCCTTCTGCATATTGACTCCTCAGTCATCAGGACATGGCTGTTCTTAGGAAAGGTGAGACTTTTTTGCTAAAGAAATGTGTGCAACATTTATAGCCTAAAACAGAATGGGCATGATTCAACCCTGCCCCCTGTGATTGTCACCACCCAGCTGGAGAGGTGGGTGTTGCTTCTGAAATGCATTTGTTTGTTACTTAAATATGTTCCATTGTCTCTTGGCCAGCTCACAACTTAGAAAGGGTTGTTTTGTGATCCCAGCCACTCATTCTTTATGCTTTTCTCTCTGCTTCAGTACTTCTTCCTCCCAAATAATGTTAGGGGTGGGATAAAAGGATGTCGCCTCTCACTGCCTCCCTCCCCTGTATAATGTTGAGGCTCTGGGTGAAAGGGTCAGAGCTGTTTTAAAGGGACATGTGAGGCCAGATTAGCCTCTGACTTAATATTTATGGAAGTTGTGGAGAGTCTGTTCCATGGTGAATCTGAACCTTAAGCTCCAGGAATCGCCTTTCAGAGACTCGCCTAGGCTAAACTGCAGCATTAAATGAACATCGGCTGGCGCTAGCAGGCAACTGGCCGCAAGAGAGCAGCATCTCAGGAACCTGCAGTATGGAGGGCTACCCAGCCAGCTTCAGGCCTCTGAACCGTAGTGACAAACCCCAGCCTGGCTTGTGGGATCCATGGATCTCAGAGATGCTGGGCTTGAAGGCCAGAGAGTCTGTCAGCCCTGGGGGAACTGTCAAATGATGGCCTCATTAGGGGAGGGCGTGTCCCCTAAGGCCTTCAGGAGGAACCTCCAGGATCAATCAACTCTGATTTTGTAATCTTCCATCCACTGAATGCTGCCCACTAGTCTTTCCTTGCACCCCTCCCCTCCAGTGACATCACAACACAAAGGTAAACAGGTGGGGCTGACTAACACGGCTGTTCCTCTGAAACCTGTCTACTGTGAAGGGTTATTCTGACCTCAAGGGTGCAGCTGCAAAAACAGGCCAGAGTCTTTCACTTTAGTTACTTGCACCTCCAGCGAAGTGTAAATAGAGCTTTCAAGCAAAGGCTCAGGAGTAACTTGATAGATAGATAGGTTTCAGAGTAGCAGCCGTGTTAGTCTGTATTCGCAAAAAGAAAAGGAGTACTTGTGGCACCTTAGAGATTAACAAATTTATTTGAGCATAAGCTTTCATGAGCTACAGTTCACTTCATCGGATGCATTCAGTGGAAAATACAGTGGGGAGATTTATATACATAGAGAACATGAAACAATGGGTGTTACCATACATACTGTAACCAGAGTGATCACTTAAGGTGAGCTATTACCAGCAGGAAAGCTGGGCGGGGAACCTTTTGTAGTGATAATCAAGGTGGGCTGGAAATGGTATGCTGATATGCTGATATGCTTTCTGCTTGTCAGCTTCACTCCCTTAATTATCTGCTGTTCTTCTCTCTTATCACATTGCCCACACTCACCCTCTGCTCTTTCGCTGATGCTCGTTCTGGGAACTCTTTTCCAGATTACCACTTGGGGATGAAATGCTCTCTTTATCGAACTGATTCCTAGCACCACTGCCCCTCGCTTCCTTCCAGTACCACCTCAAGACCCATCTCTGATGTGACACACACCAGAAATCTGTCTCCAGCGGTGTACAGCAGACAGGGAGGGCTTATTGCAGAGGCTTTAATGATTTGGAACTACCGCATGATCTAATTATAGTTCCCACCATCCTTCCTTGGGTTGGTCACATTCACTTGGTGCTTCTTCTTTCCTATTGCGTTTCAGGGCAGTGACCCCCTCTGCCTCTCCATTTGTGCAGCACCTAGAACAGTAGGGCCTCCCTCAGGCACCACAGTATAAATAACTATCTAGACTGCAGGGCTCTCAGGCCAGCTTTCAAATGTCACCTACTGATCTTGACAATGGGCATGTATACATTTCAGGGCTCCTTAGAACCATGCTTTCTTGCAGAACATGCAGATCCAAAGGGGTGCCGGTGAGTTTGCGGTTACCCCAAAGATCCTGCCCAATCAGATGATGTGATTTATCCTAAAATGCCCACTACCAGATTCATGCCATGCCCTGTAGAGCACCTGGATCTTTCTAGATGTTTATCCTGTGCTTGGGATTTAAGCAGTCCATATGTGTATTGATCTAAATTCACACCACCTCTGTATTGCTGATCAAAGCAAGGGATTGGAAATCAGGATTCTTGGGTTCTAGTCCCAGCTATGACATTGATTTGCTGTGTGACCTTGAGGAAGGTGCTTCCTTGATCTGTGCTGCATCTGAAAATTGGGATAATAGTATCTAGGTTGCAGGGCTCTTGCGAGGATTAACATATTGTTTGCAAAGTGTTTTGCATTTCAATAGCTCTTTTCATTTGAGCAGGTAAAGCATTGTTGGTTTATCATCAAAGGTTGGGGGCAGAACTTTGAATGTATCTTTCTGGCATTCCCGTAGGACTAATTTCCCTTGAGATGAACATTCCCAGGAGCATTAGACATCCCCAGTGCACTCCTCTTTCTTCTCCCTTCTTTGTTAGAAAATGACCATTATTCTAGTGCTACATAGTGGAGACAAAAAATAAATACAAAGGAACATCAGAGCTAATGTTTAATCATCCCAGGAACTTTTAACGAGCCTTTTCCCCAAATTCAAAACATGCAAAACTTTCTCACCACCCATAGATGAAACCACATAGCCTGTTCCAGGAGGAACAGGATATTTTTCCCAGGGATGAGCATGGGACATCCCAGGGATGGGATATGCTGGCAATAGTTAGTTATTTGACCAAGCTCTGCCTGGCTCATCGTGGGGAGGATGGACTGCTCTGGGATGCTGCCCATTGGGTTCCTAGAGGCCTGGCCAAATGGTCTGCTCTAAGTAGTTGCATGCTAATATTTCATCTCACCTCAGCACCTGCCCCTCTGTATATGGGGGAATCTCCTCAGCAGTCCCGCAGGGGGATGATGTGTATTAATACCAGAAAATCCTTTTGAGATCTGTAGAGGAAGGTGCTGGAAGAGGGTTGAGGATTAATGTGTTGATTGTTGTTATATTTTTTCTTCTTTCTTCCTTTATCCTGTGCCCTTAGGTATATAGGGTGGACAACAATTTCCACCATTTATTTTGGTCTTGTGCTGGTCTGTTCAGACTTCTGAGTGTCATGTTCATGGACTTGGCTTCTCTCCCTATTGTTCTATGTAATGTTTCTCTAAGTCACCCTCTTCCCAGGTTGTGTTTGCGTATCACTTGATGTGGAAATCATGTTAGTGGCATCCTTAAAGCGTACCTTAAATACATCCCTCATCTTCTTCTTACCATGTTTGTTGCTTACATTAGTTTGCTCTCCTTAGAATTTCTGATGTTCCATGAAATTCTTTCAAAGGGACTGAAGATTTTTCCCAGGAATTTACTCAGGAATGAACTGATCTCCATGACTTTGCTCTGTGAAGGAGGAGAAACACGATGCCAGTGTTAAAAATTCGTATTTTTGTGTCGGTGCTACTTTCCCAAATCTTTTCAAGTTTACGAAAGTTGGTTTTTGCTTTTGATGTTTGTTGCTTGACATCTAGCCTGGTGCCAGCATCACTGCACATCTCACTCATTAAGTAGGTAAAATGACTCGTTACCGTGTTTCTCCATCGACGCTGATGGTTGCTTTTGGAACACGGAGAGCCACAAATTCTGTCTTCGGCTTGTTGATGAACAAACCAACCAAAGTGTGACTTTTTTTCCCCATTAAGCAATGGCTCAGCAATAAAGATGTTGGCAAACACAAATAGATGTCAATCCCTCTAATTAAGCAATAAATGGCTTTGTCAGAGTCACAAAACCGGGCACATAATCTTTGTTTATGGTCTTTCATTATTAGGGGAAGCACACTCCACCCTTCTGCAACTTTCAGATGATGACGCACAATAAGGTAGAGTTGAGCTCTGACAAGCTGCCAGTGAGCTCAGCTGCCAGAGCCCCTCAATGCTTAGGAGAGA